CAGAAAACAGCACAATAATTCCTTACTGTCATCAAATAACTGCTCAGTATTCAAATTTCCCTGATTGTCTTGTAAATTTCTTGTCTAGTTGATGTGCCTGAATCAGAATCCAAATAAGGACTACACATGCACTTAGTTGATAAATTTCTTAGGTTGCTTTTAATCTATAGGTTCACCTTTTTTCCCCCTTGCAATTTATTTATTGGAGAAACCAGATCCTTTTTCTGTAGAATTTCCCAGTGTGAATTTTTACGAATTGTGTCCCCATGGTATAGTTTAATTTGTTTTTCTGTCCTATTTCCTGGAAACATAATTAGAGGCAGAGCTTTGATTAGATTTTCCACTTTTTGACAGGAAGACTTCAGAGGTGGCGTGTATACTTCCTGCTGTAGGGCAGGAGGAGACACATAATACCTGTCCTTCTCCTTGTGAGGTTATGTTTGGCCAGTAAGCACAGGTATTGTCAGTCTGGTCCATCCATTATAAAACTCCCAATCTTCTTTTTGCTGAATGGTTTTAGCTACCATTGATCGTTATTGTTGGCAAACTTTTTCGGTAAAGGGCTGGATGGTGAACATATTTCCGCTTTGTAGGCCATATGGTCTCTGTCATTGTAGTGTGGCAGCAGCCTTAGGCAATGTGTAATTGAAAGGGCATGGTTGTGTTCCCGTAAAACTTTATTTACCAGATCAGATGTGACCCGCTGGCCATTATCTGCCAACTCCTGTCTACATCAATTATTTCATTAGGAGATGCAAAATAATATAATTCTATCACCCTTTCTTTATTAATTGAAATACATTATAAACAAGAATTTTGCCTTATCAATTATTTGGTTACTCTAAGGAACTTTTTATAAAGGAAAGACAGGATAAATGCTTGAGTCTTTCCCTTTATTTGTTAGTATCCATTTTCAGGATACTGAGTTGGTTTCCTAGCATCTTCCAAAGTTGATAAGTTTGTTTTTAAAGTATCATCATGACATTATGGGTTTTTCACATATTTGATGTTTTAGTCTTCCCTGACCTAGGCCCTGTAGATACCTGTGGCTGGTGTCTGTTAACAGTTACACTGCAACCACGTGGCACTACCGAAGCGTTGTTAACTCCATGGTGGAGTTAGCATTAAATAAGTCGGGGGTCTCTGTCTGCAGCTCTAAAATCCATGATGCTACCACTTTCATTTTATTAGGTAAGAAAAATAGTTAATGTTCTTCAAATTCAGAAATTAGATTCTTTCTCTTAATTTTACATAATTCGTCTATGTTAACTTCTTTTTATCATTACTGGGTCATGTTGTTAAGCAAAATTGACATTAAAATGTTCACAGTGCAATCTTATTTTGTTACCCTATAACCTGAAAGTTGGTTTAATATCCTTTGGTTTTTCATTAATGTCAAGTTGGGAAAAAATGGACTTATTTAAAGAGCTCAAACTTAAGATTATTGTACATATCAAAATGCTCTCTTCTAATTTATCATCCATATTGACTTAAATCAGTTGTCTATTCTAATGTTCCTCCTTGCTTCTTTTCTCTATTATTTTAACTGCTCAAATACATCGTCTGCATTTTCTCTCTGACATGACCCAAACTCTCAACCCTAAACCCAGTGTAGTCTCCCTTAGATGTTTGTGGTTATGTGTGATTTCCTCTAAGTGTTTCTTTAAAAAAAATTAAATTTATTGGGATGACATTGGATAATAAGAGTATATAGGTTTCAAGTCTACATTTCTATGACACATGATTTGTATAGTGCATTGTGTGCCCATCAAAGTCAAAGAATCTTTCATCACTATATATTTGGCCCCCTTCACCCTTTACTACAACTCCCCACTGCCTTCCCTCTGGTAACCACCATTATTGTCTGTATCTATGAGTTTCTGTTTTATAGCCCACGCTAGAGGCCCATTGCACGAAATATAGGCCTTCCCTTCCCCTGGCTGCCGGCACCAGTTTTCCTACGGGCACCCGGGACCCAGGTCTTCACTCCAGCCAGAGCCTTCAGTCTTCGCTGCTCTGGCCGGAGCCTTCAGTCTTCACTCCACCGCTTCGCGCCTACGTATGCAAATTAACCACCATCTTTGTTGGGTTAATTTGCATACTCTCCTGATTGGCTGGTGAGCGTAGTGGAGGGACGGTCAATTTACATGTTTGTCTATTATTAGGTAAGATATGAGTGAAATAATTTGGTTCTTAGCTTTTTCTGACTTACTTATTTCTCTTAGCATGATAGTCTCAGGGTTCGACCATGTTGTTGCAAATGGCAGTATTTCATCTTTTCTTATGGTTGAATAGTATTCCATTGTATATATGTACCACATCTTTACCCAATCACCTATTGAAGGACACTTCGGTTGTTTGCATGCCTTGCCCACTGTGACTAATGCTGCAATGAACATAGAGGTGCATATATCTTTGTGAATAAATGTTTTCAGTTTTTTTCTGGTAGATATCCAGAAGAGGGGTTGCTGGGTCACATTGTTATCTGTGGGGAGTCCTCCGTGTCCCCACCGGTTGCCTGTGGAAGTGGGCTTATTGCGATGTTACGAGAAAAGAAAATTTCTGAGACTTGCATGGGAGAATGAGTGATATTTATTTGCATGGACTTAAACCCCTGATTTTCCAAGGTCCCATTTCCCTCTGTCCTGCCAAAGAAGAAGTCCTATTTCATCTTCAGTAGAGCTAGGATTAAAGTCATTGCCCAGAGTTTCCGCTTGATATTTACACAGTCCAGGCCAGCATCAGGCTAGCTTAGCTTGTGTTCCCAGCTGTAGCCCATAGTGTGTGGGGTCTGCATGGCCATGGGCCATGAGGCTTCTTGGGCCACATGAAACATGGGCGAGTGCAAAGGAGCAGGAGCAAAGCCAGAGGAACAAGAGAGAGAGAATTCCTATGTCCGGGGGTTTTATTCTAAGATTTCTCATGCTTGCAGTGGCTGCACCCCCTCTTGCCAATGATCTTTGTTCCCAGACAAATATTTTCCCTACATCACCCTGATGTTAATGCGCATGTGTCCATCTTCCCCTTTGTTGGATTCCTTCCCCCAATGATCTGTGGGGAATGGACTGGTGGTTCCCTAGGGAGTGTGAAGTTGCAGCTTCCTGGTGAAGCTGCCCAGATGGCCATGCTCATAATGTCTGTCCTCTCCCCTGCTCCTTTCTTCTTCTTATTTTTAATAACTAGCAAATTACAATGGTAACAATATGGTAACTTTATTCTTAATTTTTTGAGGAACCTCTATACTGTTTTCCATAGTGGCTGTACTAGTTTACATTCCCACCAGTAGTGAAGGGTTCTTTTTCTCTACCACCTCTTCAACTCTTGTTATTACTTGTCTTGTTGATAATAGAAGAACACATGGATACTAAACTTATGGACCTTGGTCTTAGAAAGATTTTATGAATTTGACCCAAAGGCAAGGAAAGTAAATGCAAAATAAGTTTTTGAAACTGTATTAAACTAAAAAGCTTCTGCACAGCAAAAGAAACTGCCAACAAAACAAAAAGGCAACCAACCAATGGGAGAAGATATTTGCAAACAACAGCTCTGACAAGGGGTTAATATCTAAATATATAAAGAACTCATACAACTTAAAACCAACCAAACAACCAATCCAATTAGAAAATGGGCAGAGGACCCGAAGAGACACTTCTCCCAAGAAGACATACAAATGGCCAACAGGTACATGTATGAAAATATGGTCAACTTCATTAATTATTAGGGAAATGCAAATAAAAACCACAATAAGATACCACCTCTCACCTGTTCGAATGTCTATTATCTTCTAAGTGTTTCTATTATTGACTTCCTTGGTGCTTTTTGACACCTCCTTGTTACCCTTTTCTTTCCTTGGATTTAGGGATGATTTTTTTTTCTTGACCTCTTGATTCCTTTTCTCTGTTCCCAACCTATGAACAATGTTCCCGGGTCTTATTTTATATATCCTCAGCATTTCTCACTTTCTCTCTAAGTTTCATAACTTCCTTGGAAAGCTCATAGTTTGCCAATTTTAGGTTCACGATTCCAGTTATTCACATATGCAGGTGACTTTTAGAACTCTGTTTCTAATTCTGAGCTATAATGTTTCTATATTTATTATCAAGTATAAGATGTTTAAACTTTGACTTTTTTTTCTAACAATTGAAAGTAAAATCTAAGAGAAGAGAGGACATCATGTTCTCAAGGTACCTTTTAAATGTATTGATGTTACTCATTGAGCCCTGGTTGCTAGATGAATTATGAAAAGATTTTGAAGATGGGTTTAAAACCTTTGAAAAGTTGTTTTCTATTTTTGCCTTCTGCTGCACCCTATCTCTGCTGTGGCCCAGTATCTGCTGGCTGTCTTTTGCTTTAGATTGTTCTGTGGCTTTCTTTGTCTGTGTAATAGATCTTGTCCACTACAAGTTCCCCTTCTTCACAGGCATATTTTCCAGAGTAATTCTGACTATCTTCAGGGATATTGGCAGTTTAGCTCTTTTTCTGTCAACCATAAAGTGAGGAAGAATTTTTTTCATAACTTAAAAGCTTCCCAAACCCATTTTTTCTCTGGGCTGATAAGAAGGGAAGCAGTGCTCTTCTGGGTTTGCCTCTAAAGGATAGGAGTGTGTGCTATGTCCATTAAAAATCACTTAACCTTAATATGTAATCAATATAAAATCATCTTTTCTGACAGTGTGCTTCTTTTCTTATACAGATATCATTTTTATCTCATTTAAAATATATTGCAGCTTTTTACTTTCTCCTAATTTTCAGTTGAGTGTATCATCAATAGTGCCACATTGTGTGGCTGTGTTGTGTAAAGTGACTCATTAAAATGAGTCTGAAAGGCCTATTGAGAAAAGTCATTCAGGGCAAATAACTTCAATAAAATTTAATCTATATTTTTGTTTCTCCTTGCCAAGCTTGGATTAGGGCATATTGTAAAAGTGATAGAATTTAGAAAATGATTTTTTTTTCCTTTTTGCCCATCATTAATTGAAGTATTTCATTAATTGGATTAGTGACATTTTGCTGAGTCAGAGTACAGTTGGACCTTGGTAAGTATAAATATACTCAATTTCAGGAGGCTAGATAGCTATTTTTATTAATATGGGAGAACATTAGAATTATGGGAGATGAGTAGAATTATGGAGGAGATGAAAAGGAAAATATTTTTGTTTGTGATTTTTTTTTATTTTAGAACTAGAGGCCCGGTGCACAAAATTCATGCATGCGGAGGGGGGGGGGCTCCCTCAGCCCGGCCTGCACCCTCTCCAATCTGGGACCCCTCGGGGGATATCAGATTGTCAGTTTAGGCCCAATCCCTATGGGACCGCTGGCTCCTAACCACTTGCCTGCCTGCCTGCCTGATTGTCCCTAACCACTTCTGCCTGCCAGCCTGATTGATGCCTAACTGCTCCTCTGCTAGCCTGATGGCCCCCAACTACCCTCCCCTGCCGGCCTGATGGCCCCAAACTGCCCTCCCCTGCCGGCCTGATCGCCCCCAACTGCCCTCCCCTGCTGGCCTGATGACCCACAACTGCCCTCCCCTGCCGTGACCTGCCTCCTCTGTGCAAGGCAGTGGAGATGCCAGAACTAGCCTCCTCTGTGCTGTGCGGAGCTGCGGACCCCCAGGTCTCACTGTGTGGAGCGGCCACTGGGCCCCACCTTCGCTGTGCACACAGCCCATCTTGTGGCGGCCATCTTGTGATAACGTCGCACACGAGGACCACCTAGGCCAGTGATGGCGAACCTATGACACGCGTGTCAGAGATGACATGTGTACTCATTTTTTTTGGTGAGTTTTCTTTGTTAATGGCATTTAAATATATAAAATAAATATCAAAATATAAGTCTTTGTTTTACTATGGTTGCAAATATCAAAAATTTCTATATGTGACACGGCACCAGAGTTAAGTTAGGGTTTTTCAAAATGCTGATATGCCGAGCTCAAAAGGTTCGCCATCACTGACCTAGGCTTTTATTAATATAGATAATATAAAAATAACATCTTTCTAGTTCTTCCTTTATTTATAATTTTCAGAAAGCTGTGAGTATTGAGGATATAGTAGTAGTGGCCGTTTTGCTTTTATATTCAGAGAAAATTTAAAAGCCTTACATACAAAATACACCTCCCTCAGATTGATATCTAGACATTTACAGAGAAACTGTTACAGGTGGGGAGCTCTTCCGTGTCCCCCACCTATGCCCAGGGGAAATGGGATTCTTGTGATGTCACAAGAAAAGGGATTTTTGAGACTCACACAGGAGAATGAGTGGCATTTATTTGTATGGAATTAAATCCCTGAGTTTCTAAGATCTTCCCTCTCCCTCCATCCTGCCATGGAAGAAGTCCGGCTGTGTCCTTAGCAGAACTTGGATTAAAGCTACTGCTCAAAGTTTCCATTCCACATTGGAGCACAGTCCAGTCCAGCATCAGGCTGGCTTAGCTTGTGTTCGCAGCTGCAGTCCATTAGTCCATAGCGGGGTCCGCATGGCAATGGGCCATGAGGCTTCTAGGCAAATGCAAGAAAGCAGGAGCAGAACCAGAGGAATAAGAGAGCGAAGAGAATGAACTCCTTTGTCTAGGGCCGTGGTCGGCAAACCGCAGCTCGCGAGCCACATGCGGCTCTTTGGCCCCTTGAGTGTGGCTCTTCCACAAAATACCACATGCGGGCGTGCATGTACAGTGCAATTGAAACTTCGTGGCTCATGCACAGAAGTCGGTATTTCGTGGAAGAGCCAGTATTTTGTGGAAGAGCCACATTCAAGGGGCCAAAGAGCTGCATGTGGATCGCGAGCCGCGGTTTGCTGAGACGCAGTTTGCCGACCACTGGTCTAGGGATTTCAATCTAAGATTTTGCGTGCTTGCAGTGGCGCTGCCTCATCAGCCAATGATTTTTGTTCCCAGGTTAGACTGACAGGCACTTTCCCTACATCACCCCGACTTCACTGCCTACACACCCCTCTCACCTTTGTTGGGCCCCTTTCCCCAGTGATTTGCAGGGAATGGATTAGTGGTTCCCTGGGGAATGTAAAGTTGCAGCTTCTGGTGAAGCTGCCCAGATGGTCATGCTTATAACTTCTGGTCTCCCTTTTGCTCCCTTCCTATCCTATCTAATAAAAGAGTAATATGCAAATTGACCATCACTCCAGCACACAAGATGGCTGCCCCATGTGGTCAAAGATGGCCGCCCCCATGTGGACACAAGATGGCCTGCAGGGGAGGACAGTTGGGGGCAACCAGGCCTGCAGGGGAGGGCAGTTAGAAGTGACCGGGCTGGCAGGGGAGGGCAGTTAGGGGTGACCAGGCCAGCAGGGGAGGGCAGTTAGGGGCAATCAGGCTGGCAGGGGAGCAGTTAGGCGTCGATCAGGCTAGCAGGGGAGTGGTTAGGGGCAATCAGGCAGGGAGACAGGTGAATGGTTTGGAGCCAGCAGTCCTGGATTGGAGAGTGCAGGCTGGGCTGAGGGACACACCTCCTCCCCCCATGCATGAATATCGTGTGCCAGGCCTCTAGTTATTAATAACCAGCTAATTACATTGGTAACAAAATAATCCTATAGGGATTGTATTCTATGAATTTTATTAATGGACATGTTTAATGAGCATAAACCTGAAGCTGATGTGGACAAATACTTATGAAAATTGGGGATTTTCAGTGGTGAAAATAAAGAAAGGAATTCATTTGTTTAACATATTGAGAGCTTCCTAGATGCTAGGATTTATGTATCTTTTTACAGATTTTATTTTATGATTAAAGATTTCTTGGGAAGTTTAACTGATCAGAATCTGTATTTCTTTATGGAAATTATGGGGTATTAGATTTACAATTTAAAAATCTAGATTAAAAATGTATAGTACTCGAGAATGTTTATTAAGACAAAGTGCTGACTTTAACACACTTAAGAGTGGGTATACCATCACAGATTAGTGGAGATAGGAGGAACTTGGAGACAATTCAGAGTATTTATTTATATAGCAAGTAATTAATGAGTATTTACTCTGTGCTGGCTTATGATAGGTGCTTGTGCTACGTGGTCAACAACATATCTGTGGCTCTTGTATTCTTATAATTTATATTCAAGTAGTAGAAATTGAGAGCAAACAGACTAATTAGTTAAACTGTGCAGGTGGAAGTTTGTTGAAGAAAGTATAAGGGTGCTGTAATAGAAAATAAATGGTAAGGGATTTAAAAAAGAAGGTAATTAGGGAGAACCTCCTTGAGGACTTTCTATTGAAATTGAGATCTATGAGGAGGAAGGAGCTCAGTAAGGACATTTCACAGCGAGCAAACGGCCCACAGCAGGAAAGAGTTTGTGGATTGTTTGTGGAACTTAAGGGCCTCTGGGACAGGGAGGCAACATGGACAGTGGTTCAAGATGGGACTGGAAGGATGGCAGGGCCAATTTGTACACTACCTTACTGTATGGAGTTGGATTTTAATCTCTTTGTAATGGAAACCTATTGAACAGACAATGATGTAATCTAATTAATATTTTTAGAAGCTTATTTTGTAGTGGGGCAAAAGTAGAAGCAAGAAGATCAGTTTGGAGGTAGAAATGACTAGAATTGCCAATGGATTGGGTGTGAGGAGAGAGATATAGTATAGAATCAAAGATGACTCATAGTTTTTGACCTGAAAAACAGAGAGAATGGTGATGCCCTTTGTTATGATGGGGAAACTATGCTGGGTGTGGTGGGTGAGAGGTGAGGATTAAGTCTTGTCTTAGACTCCAGTTAAATTTGAAATGTTTGTAAGAACACTAGTGGAAGTATCCAGCATGCAATCCAGGACTTGGAGGAAAGGTATGAGCTGTAGACACAAACTTGGAGTTGTCAGGTGGTACTTGAAGTTGTTGGAGTGAATGAGGTAATCCAAGGGAAAGAGTGCAAATAGAGAAGGAACAGTGGCTCAAGACCAAGTGCTAGATGCTCCATTTAGGATTTGTCAGAAGAGGAGCTGGCAGAGAATACTGAGGAAGAGTGGTCAGGAAGGGACTGGAAAAGGGTGACATCATGGAAGTGATGAGAAGAGAGGGTTTCAGGAGGAAGGATGTTGCCATCAGGTAGAAAGCCCTTGAGAGGTGAAGGAAGGTGAGGGCAGAAGAGGATTCATTTACTTTTATAATTAGCTCCTGCATTTAGAAATCTCATCTTATTTATCTTTGCATCCCCAACATCTAGCACATGGCCTGACACCTAACAGTAAAGACATTAAGTAAATACTTATTGAATGATTAAATGAAAGAGATAGTATCAAAAGAGGGCTATACCTTGAGTCTATTAAGAATTAAAATCTAACTATTCCTCTTTTAAGTGAGTTTCTATAGCAGTTGAAAATGACTTTCCCATCAATTAATAATATATTGATAAAAATATATTATGATTTTCAGTCATATTAGGTATATAATCGTGTACTTCTTAATCAGTAGGTATGTTACCTCTGCCTACCAGAAAAAGCAGTTACTGTGGTTTGGAAGAACAGGGAACATTTGTGTGTGTGTGTGTGTGTGTGTGTGTGTGTAGTATTAGTTTTATTTAGTGTAATCAGCATCAAAATAATTAACCTACTTCTACCTAAGTTTGAAGTTGTAGAAATGGTGCAAAGCATCTCAAAGCATCTATGTTAGTTTCTTTAGACATTTTATTCTTTTTTAAAAATTATTTTTTATTTTATATATTTTTATTGATTTCAGAGAGGAAGGGGGAGGGAGAGATAGATAGAACATGATGAGAGAGAATCATGGAACGGCTGCCTCCTGCACGCCCCCTACTGGGGATCCAGCTGGCAACCTGGGCATGTGCCCTTGACCAGAATGAAACCCAGGACCCTTCAGTCTGCAGGCTGACGCTCTATCCACTAAGCAAAACTGGCTAGGACTATTCTTTTTTAAAATATGGTTAGAGTTTTATTAATCTTTGGTCAAGGAAAACTATGGAGAAAGGAATTAATAGGAAAGAGATTTGTCTAATGAGATAGTACTCAACCACTTTTAATAATGTAATTTGCAGCCTGTATTTGTATTAACCCTTGATCTCCTTAAATTATATCTTTGTTTGTTTCTCCCAAGTAAAGAGTAAGGTAACAAGCAAACAATCTAAACTTATAAGACTTCTACATTAGCTGTTAGTGCTCCATAGAGATAGAATAAGCAAGGAAAAAATATTTCCCTTTCAGTTCATCAAGTATTGGAGATTATTACATTTTGCAAAATTGATAGGTTATGCTTAATTTGATCTGGTCTCTATCAATGGACAGAAAACCTGCATAACTTTTGATACTGTATTCAATGCATATTATTATATCTACTACCAATTTATAATGCTGAAGTACTTAAAAATATCAATGGGTACAGTGTAATTAAATTTCTAATAGCATCCATAAAGTGCTTATTTATGCAAAATACATATTCTATCTAATAAAGAGGGAATATGCTAAT